CGGAAACGCCACCAACCATGCAAACATCGTACGATCGACCAAAGTTTTCAAACATGCTTGACCGTCAAAAGTTGTACGATTGTACAGTACTATCGGTCGGGCACTCTATTCACAGGTTACGATTGTCGTACGTAAAGTCAATCACATATGATTATCGTACGATAATCGTAAGGTGTATGGGCACCCAAAAGGTGGCCATACACCTTACAACCATCGCACGACTTTCGTTGTGTGATGGTTGTAAGGTAATTCAAATCTCATACGATCTGCCCATCTTAAAACAGGCAGATCGTACTTGCGATCATCGCAAGCCCTCCCCGCCGCTTGCGCACACCGGCCCGCTCGGCATTTGTTTTCCGAGCACGCCACTAACCCGTGGCCTGCTCGTAAGACAAAAGACGCGCAACCTAAAGGTGGCCATACACTCTACAACCATCGCAAGACTTTAGTCTTGCGATGGTTGTAAAGGAATTAAAAAAACGTACGATCTGCCTATCTTGGACAGGCAGATCGCACTCTCGATCATCGCAAGCCCGCCCCCCTGAGGGGCGGGCTTCCGATGACCGCAATGCTGAACGGGCAGTGTGCGCGTGCGCACACCGGCCCGTTCAGCATTTATCTTCCGAGCACCGTTCTAACCAGCCGAGAATCGTACGATTCCCGGCTGGTTTTCGAACATGCTGGTTCGACAGAAGACGTGCGACCGTACAGTAGAAACGGTCGCACGTCTCCGTTCACACTGCTCGATTATCGTACGAAAAACCGATCGCATACGATTATCGTACGATAATCGTGCAGTGTATGGGCACCTTAACAGTAGAAACGGTCGCACGCCTTCCATACACCTGCCGATTATCGTACGATAATCGGCAGGTGTATGGGCACCTTTAGAATTGATGCTGGTTTGAGGCCAAAGGGTAGTCACACCAAATATTGATTTGATTTTTCTTCTGTTCACCTATTTTGCATATTGATAAAACTGAACAATAAAATATATATTTTTTAAAGCATTCTTACTTTACAGCATTTTTTTTTTGTACAACTGCGTAGAACTTTTGCACAGAACTGTATGTCCATGGAGCCCTTTTGGCCTTTGATGGGCAAATCAGAAAATGACAAAGCTAACAAGTACAAATATTCAAAGGCTGTCTTTATTATTGTTCTTTGGAATTCATCACTATTAGCACTACACAATAATTTACTCGATTTAGAGAATTAGATAAGTAGTATAGGGACACGCCTTTGAACTGTTGACTTAACCTTGAAACTGGCTATACACATTGAAATCTGATTGCAAAGTGTTACCAGTGCCAGTGACTATCCAACTGCATATAAACTGAATGCATTGTTGAGAGATGCAGTGCTTCTACATTTTAATATTTTATAAAATAAATATATTTATGTACAATTGTTCTTTGCCTCCCCCAAAACAGAAAATGCAATGTTTCTAATTTGTGCACTATTTTAAAAGAAACCTGTCAGGACAGAAAAGGCAGCCACGCTAGTTGTTTGGCTGTAATGCTAATCCTCTGGCTTTCTGAGCCATTGATCCAAAACAAGTATGCAGATCAGGAATGTAAACTTTACTGAATGGTTGCTCGATTCTGACAGTGACTGAAAAAGGATAGAATTCAAAAGGATCAAAAATGTAATCCTAGCAACCAAGGATTTAAAAAAAAAAAAGGGAAACCTTTACAAAGAGACAGAAGGGCTGATGTTGCTCACATCTCAGAGAATACTGTTATACTGACCTTCTGGCTTTGACACTTTGACTTTCCTGAGTTGTTTCCTTTATGCAGGACAATAGCCGCAAAAACGGGCATGCTGTACTATCAGGCGAGATGGGCAGTCGTGCAGTTCATCGCAGTTGTACGTTACAGTGCCTGTTACAAACGCAGGTACTTCTTAGCAGCTGGCAATTGTAATATGTTCGGAGGTACTGAGGTCAATAGTAATGTCAAGTTAGTTCCTCAGCCTCATTCATACGACATACGTTTCGACAGACATATACTGATGTTAGGGGGGGTTGTTTTTCTTTTTGTTGGGTGGTACTTGAGTTGCCGCAAGTACCTGGAGGCTACAGTACACGGTCATGCCTATAGGCGAGTATAGCAAGCTCATGGTATCAGCTGTTGGCACGTCATTTCTATTTTATTTGTATTTTTGTTTTATTTTTTGTCCTTAGTGTTTTCTTACCTCCTTCTCTTCTTCTCCCCTCTGTTTCCTTATTTTTCTCTCTTGTTGTAACAAATAGGCTTGGTGGTGCATATCGACTAAGCATGTCTCATGTGTCCGAAAGCGAGGATATAGCGTTTCTACCAGAAACCCCGTCTAGGGTTTCCGAGCAAGGGAGTGCACAGTCGATCAGGGCATGGACTGTTCCTAAACTTATTTTGGAACTTCGGAGGAGAGGCATTCCTTTTGCAGCCTCCGCAAGGAAGGCGGAACTATTTAAGTTACTGTTCCCCCCAGCAGCGGCTAGTGGCAGCTCAGAGCAGGTGTCGTTACAAACCGTAGTGACTTCTCTAGCTAATATTCACACCACACTTAATCACCTCACCACGTCGTTTCACAACTTGCAACATAGGACAGAGAATCTAGAGAAGCAGGTTCCTGCAGTCCCTGCTACCACGACACCAGACGTGGCCAGCACCTCTGCGGTTCTTCCGGGGACTTCCAACGCGGCAGTGTCCGCCGCGGCAGGTACAGTGAAGATTGCCCCTAATATAACGCCAGCTCATTTTGTTCCGGCCAGTTTAAGAAAGGATATTTTAGAAGGGAAAGATGTCAACTTAGCATCCCTACTGATAGCGGCGCACGATGTTACGGATCATAAAGCTTTCTCATGCGGAGAGGTGTCCGTTGTGTTGAAAGCCAGGGACCCCAGGTTAAGCCGTAAACTGACTATACATGAATTCGTGTTAGCGTTTGGCGTTTTTAGAGACGTTGTGTGCTCTGTAAACCCTAATCGAAGGGAAGAGCTGGACGCGTATCTGCATATAGTGGTGGATCTTTCATATAAGTATGGAGGGTTTGCATACTATGATTATCACCGGGCGTTTTCAGCCAAAGCGGCTGCCGGTCTGGCGCAGTTCCAGTTCACCGCCGATTGGGGCAGGGTAGATACTGAACTATTCTGCAGACATTTTGCCGGTCTTAAAGCCCCGGTGTGCACCTCGTGCCAGTCTTCAGCCCACACAGTGGACTGGTGCCCTACGCCAGGGGGGACAGATACGACCACAGCAAACAAACCAGCAGGGTTCTTGCCCAGCTCGACTGCCACAGGTCCGGCACAGTTCGATAAGCTAGGTAGGCCCATACAGTGCTTAGGGAAAGCACAGATTTGTAACAACTACAATTACAAATCTTGTAATTTTCAACAATGCAGGTTGTTGCATATCTGTTCTACATGTTTCAGAGCCCATCCGAAAGTCGCTTGCACGGCCAAGAACGTGCAATCGTCTTGACTAAGCCAGGTGGACGTGGGCGCGTTGGCCTGCTTGCTGAAAGATTTCCCTGATCCAGCGGTTCTGACGTTCCTGACGGAAGGGTTCAACACAGGGTTTCATACAGGCCTGATTACTTTACCACAGGCGACTTTTGAGTGCAGGAACTTGAGGTCGGCGTTGGCTGCACCAGATAGGGTTGATGCACTGTTACAGGCTGAGCTAGACAAGGGTTCTCACACTCCAGGTCAGTATCTTAATTCAGCATGTTAGAGTTTGGGTGTTGTCGCGATGTATGCTATGTAGCTGACACAGGTAAGCAAACGCCTTTAACAAATACTTGTTAAGGCTGGTTTCACACAATTTTCCGGACCCGATCTGGAACGCAGTGCACTAAATTTTTTACATTCTTTTGTTGAGATTTGGCCGCATTCTGCAACTGTCTTATTTTCTTTTGTAGCTTAAAATGGGCTTTCAGGTGCGGTCCAATACATTTTGTACGCGTTTGTGCATTCCAGACCAGACAAAATGAGACACGCAGTATTGTTCTGGCCTGGAATGGACTGCGCTGGTGTGAACAGAGACCAGAAATAGCATAGGGATACATTAGGATGCATTTTGGGTCTGGAAACAATCTGGTATGATCTGGATGTGGTGTGAATGGGTCCTGAGGGTCAGTTAGCACTTATCTGCATTAATGTCCTGGGTTTGTGTACCAAGAGGGTAAGAAGAGGTCAGCAATGGCAGCCCACCCTTTCTTATGACAGCATTCCTCTAACAGCACAGTGCAAACAGCAACCCTGCCTTCATACCCACTGTAAGTAAATGCAAAGCAATGGCTCTTAATTAGTATATTTTGAACCGGAAAATTCTAAACTAGAAAATGTGAAACAAAATGAAAAGTATTAGGAGAGTAAAATATACTCTTTCCAATACACTGCAGCTGTCACATGCAGGCTCTGTCTACCAAGAGGTGACTATCAGCTCACAGTCTGCTCCCTGCAGAGAGTGATAACTGTCAGTCACCGTAGCCCACTATATGCTGACTTTGGGTCACAGGAGTACATTAGTGAACATACTCCTTTGACCCAAAAGAGAAATAAAGCTGAAATAAGAGGTTTGGCTTTACTTTTAATGCTGCTCCCATAAGGTGACCCCTCTCCGTGAAAGCATGGCCCCAGCTCCCCACGAGCGAGCACTCGGCTAGCAGAACTAGGCTTGGCTAACCACGCATGCCCAGTCTCACTCACAGAACACTGAGCTCAGCTGCTGCTGCAAAAGAAAGTGGACTGTGCGGTTAGCAAGCTGCCTTCTCTTAGCTGCATGCTCGTTCATGACGAGGTGGGGCTGTGTATCCAACGGTTGGTCCATCCTGTCACGTAGTTGGGATGGAGAGGGGGGAGGCCACAGGAGCTGCATTAATAGAAGTAAGCATTTTTAAGAACTGGGGACAGTATTTTAAAACACCTTGTAAGTCAATTGAGTCATTTATAATATATATTTTTTTTTTTTTAATATATCGATATGACAATTACATAGGCAAGACAACATGACTCAGTATAATTTAAGTTTTCCTTGGCTAGATCTTTGTGCTCTCAGTTGTACTGGAGTCCTGGAAGTCATATCCAATGCAAGTTTGTTATGCTTTAAATCTATTTCTTTCACAGAGACTTGTAGTTTCTTTGATGTTTGAGTCATGAATGCAAAGCTCTCCATCAGATCTATGATCCCATGTTCCCTGCAAATTTTGTCCAGTCCATCAAACCAAGACAGTATCTTTTCCAATTCTGCCTGCACAGCTTTCTGTTCCTCCAGTTCAGCTAAAAGTGCCTGGGTAACACACTTTTCTCCTTTGTACTGCCTGTGTAATGTCTGGACTTCATTCTGGAGAACATCAAACTGTTCTTTACTGTAGGCGTAGTTTGCATGTATCTCATCTTCACACAGCAGAATATTCCTGGGAATATTAAGTACCAGTTTTAAAAGACAGTTTTCCAGTTTCTGAAACAGGTAATTGAAGCGTTCAGTGAGGAGGGACAGATATTTTTCCGTGCTTTCCCGGATCTCAAAGCTATTTATCCCAGAGTTTGGAAATTTCTCTAGTTTTTTCAGGATGACACTTTCCACAACCAGCAACATGTCAAATAAGTAGTCTTGAAATGAAATGTACAGTCGTAGAATGCAGGTCTGTGGCGTGAACCCAAAATACTGGGTTTCATAGCACATTGGAATAACAGACATTATTGTACTTTTCAAATACCTGTAGACAAAAAAACAGGGGACATTATTACTTTGCAATCATGATACACAAAACAAAAAAGACATATATAATATTTAGGGATGCACCAATCTATCGGTCGCCGAAACATATTGGCCGGAAATGGCACTTTTGGCATAATGCCGAAAGTGCAATTTTCTGGCCAATTCAGCGGTTCATCCATTCTATTCTCTACTCCCCGCTGGGCGCTGCTCTGTGTCCCAGCAGGGAGGAGAGAAACTGAGACAAGCGGCCAAGCGATGTGGGAGGAGAGCACTCTGTGCGGCAGGCGTCTCTCCTCCCACACCGCTCAGCCTTTTGTCACAGATCGGCAGAGCGGTGTGTGTTGGTTGAGACAGGCCACGCTGTCACTGCAGGCTGAGCTCTCCTCCCTGCGCCTCCTGTGACAGCGTGTCAGGAAGGAGAGCGGTACAAACACTCAGCGATCACTGAGTTTGTAAATAATTGAGGACATAGTATGGTTACTATATCCTCAATTATGAATGAATGGGAAGTGATCTACATCACCTTCTGTTCATTCACGATTGTGGACATAGTAAGCATACTATGTCCTCATGTTATGAATGAACAGGAACACTCAAAGAGGATTCCTGTTGATTGACAACATGGGCTGCAGAAAAAGAGATTGAGGAATCTGTGTCCTCAATCTCTTTTTCCATTGTAAAAGGGAAATATAGGGGTTAATATTATTAAAAATAATAAAAAGTTATTAAAAAAAATATTTGAAAAACTTAAAATAAAAAAAAATTCGGTTTTGGCCTGACTTTTTTTATTTCGGTTTTGAAATTTTAATTTCGGTGCACCTCTAATAATATTAATACTAAAATGTAAAGAACACCATACTGCAGATATGGAGCTGCTAGAGTCACTTTCTGCTCTTTTCTGTACAATGGGAACACAACTAATATGAAGTCACTCAGTGACCACTCTCTCCAATACATCATTAAGGTTGTCATACGACACTTTGTTGCGGTCACAGGTTTGTTCTTGTCATGTGTGGTGTTCAGAAACTTTTTACCGTGCTCTGCAAAGGAAAGGCCACTGTAAAAGAAAACAGTTTTGGCTTCAGATAAACTTTAGTTTTGGATACAGTACGGGAGTGTTAAAACCTGCCAGGTTTTTTTTGCTGCCTGTGTCCCATTGGGAAGATTTCCCCTTCACCTCTTGTCCAGTGGACACAAGGAGGAAGAGGAAATCCCCCCAAAGTGAGGGAAACCATCTCACACAGTTGTCACCAAACAAGTGTCCCCATTGGAAAATCCCCTGCTTTTCCTGTTCTGGTTACAACTTAAAATGTTGGACCATCTCCTCACTAGCAGTGTCAGTGGTAATGTTCACCAAGAGAGGTGGAGAAATAATCTCCCAGTAGGACACGGAAACCCCGACAGGATTTCTAACCCTTCCATACTTTAGAACTCAAGGTTTCTCTCTGGGTATTAGGCCTTTGGGGAGGTAACTGTAAACTACACTTACATTCCTTGTGTCCTTCAAAACACTGCAGAGAAATCTAAAAGAAAATTGTAAGTCAGCACACGCCAACAAGGTGGGTATTGTAGTAGCGATGGGTGGGGTTGTTTTACATGAGCAAAACAATGCAAAGTAAGGAACATCACCAGCCCACCAGCATTATTCCCATCAAAAGTATTTGTTGTAATCACTTGACAGAAAAAATATGACATTTCCAGGTCTCAGGAGGATCCCTTTATCAAGGCACCGTCCCAAAACATTGAATTTTTTTCTGCAATTGTGATTACACTAAAAACACATCCGATGGGAATTATGGTGGTGGGCTGATGACATATCTTACCTTGCATTGTACTAGAGTTTATGTGTTTATACTTCCTGTAACTTACAGAGCCGACACTCCTGTTCCAATTATACTGGTTATTCCCACAGCAGTATAGAAGTATAATGCCAAGCAGAGCAAGCATAGTGGATATTTCCCTGCAGCTTTCTAGACAGAATAAAAAGGGAAATTAAGTAACTTACAGGTTAGATTTGCCGTGGACAGCTTTGTGTGTATGTATGTCACTAGACTTTGTCCACAACGTCAGGCCTTTGTGAGTGTGTTATATTTAGAATAAGCTGTAAAATACAGTTGCAGACATAAAACATCTCTTTGCCATTGCTGCCACCTAGTGGAAAGTAGATCTAGTATAACAGACCTGTTCATAATGAATGTTAGTGTTGTATTTTACAGTATAGAAGAATTTGTCTGAGTAGCAGAAACATTTGTATCAACTACACTCCAACTCAACAGAAGGTTTTAAACAAATAGATGTTATGCTAACTGATACCTATTACAGCTGTTCTATTTAGACCCCTTTCACATGGGCTGATCAGGAGAAGATCTGTGCATGGATCCCCTCCTGATCACAGTGGTACGGAGCAGATGTCATCGCTGTGACATCTGACTCCATACAGTTTTTCCCTCCAGCTTGCGATGGAGGAAAAAAAAACGCAAACTGACTTGTGTCATTATAAGGGCAATCTAATGTAAATGGACATGTGTCCGTTTACATGAGATTACCCCCAATCCAGCACGATGCGGTCATGCGAAACGGATCTCTGATCCGTTTGTTTTCCCGGCCGGAGGCAGGGGTAACTGGGTGCAAACGGATGCACGGCTGCCCATAAGCACAAAAGGTTTTTTTTTTTGCATCATAAAGGATAAGTGCACTTAAAAACAAAGTGCAATTACCCTTTTTGCCCCCTTTGCCCTAAATTAACCTTACCCACCCTTCCCCCCCACCACAGATGGATACTTACCTTAAACTGATGACCATGGTTCCGCGGTTTGTTTATATCCAGCTCCACAAGTCTTCACTGTGCTAGCCACACCTTTGCACTAATGCCCCATAGACTTCTGCAGCCGGAGCCTGTTACCTGGAAGTCCCATATGTTTGAGTGTTGTGTGGCGGCAGGGGTGCTGATGATAGTGCTGGGGGGGGGAGGAGGTGCTCCTGACAATGCTGGGGGGTGGAGGTGCTTTGCAGCAGGACAGGTGGTTGTATCAGACAGACGGAGAGCTATGCTGTCAGCAGCTTTCTGTCTGGTCCCACCCAGCTCACCGATGTCACTGGCTGCCAGGAACTCGGCTGGATGACAGCCAGAGTGTCCTGCTCAGCTCCCTGGCAACCGATGACATCAGTGAACTGGGCAAGAAGTCGGAAAGTGCATCCCAGGCTGCCAAGAGCTCTTAGCAACGTGGGACACTGTGGTTGCCCCTCTGCAGCCCCCCTAATGAGATGCCGCCTGAGGTAAACACCTCAGGCTGCCTCATTATTGGTATGGCCCTAACAATTGTGCTGCAAAAATGATAGTATAAATCAAGGCACAAGATTCAAGACAAAAATCAGTAGAGAAGGCTTATTGCACAAGAATGGAAGCAGACCCTGTTGCACAATGCAAGGTCATCATATTCCCCCCCTTGAAAAAAAAATGTAATTTAATGTTAGCATTTCCAAAAAGTACCTGTAAATGTATACATCCCTTACCCAGGTCTTCCACATTGCTGGACCACATCCTTCTGGGTAGATTCCTGGAGAACACAGAGGAGGTACAATTCTGCAGAAGACACTGCAGTCCATTGCAAGAACATCTTGGAAGATTTTGGATGCTCTGTATTACCCAAGATCTAGGCAGAAGGAGGGTGATATCATCCTCACCTAGGTGCTACGACTGAAGACGGGGAGGTAGGGGAATAAAACAAAACGTTTTTCTTTTGAGATACATTTTGCACCTACTAACATTAGGTGATTTTAAAGGGGGAGAGGGCCCAGACAGTACAAGTGGACCGTGCACTTTACTGCTAGGTGCACTTATGATACTTTTTGCTTCACTTAGAAACTTTAAAGACGAACGTTTTCTGAACCTTGCAGTGGGGCTCCACTGCAAGGGTTAAGTACTTGTTTTTGTCTAGGGTTTATTATACCAAAGTTATACTCACCCGAAGCTCTGAGCTGGCCAGCTGTCACAGCGCTCCCTCCATCCTGTCCCCTCTGCAGCAGTAGATTGGAACATTGCTCAGCATCCTCATGTCTACACACTGTGTATAGATGTGATGATTTATGGGACCTTAGACCGCTGCAGAGAAGGGGGAGAGAAACGCTGGAAGGACCAATCTAAGAACAGGTGCAAAATGATCAGGTGAGTATAACTTTTTTTTTTAACCTAGACACAAATGAGCACTTAACCTTTGCAGTGCGGGAGTAGCCTCACTGCAAGGGTTAATTAAAACAAAATTCCCTTCTTTAATTACCAAAGCGCCATAAAATTGTCTGTGAAAATAAAGTCACATGATCCTGCAGGCCTAGTTCTTATTTCAAAGCATGCTGCCTAGGAGGGGCAGATGCATTGGTAGCATGTAACATAGTCATACTGTATGATGGAGCTAGAAATCGCTGAAAACTTAGCAAATGAGTGATTCCATAGAAAATAAATGATGATTTTGCTACTGAGAAATTGCTTTACAGTAAAAATAAAGAAAGAAATTTCCTGTGTAACATCAGCCTTTCCAGTTGTTGTTTTTTTTAGGAAACAAACAGAAGAAAAGCTTGTCCCCCCGCCAGCATGTGGTAGAGAAGGGCCCTTGGATTGGCCTTAGGCCCCTTTCACATGGGCTGATCAGGAGAGGATCCACTCACAAATGGTCCATTTACGCAAGGCTGCCCATAGACTAACATTGAGCACCTGATAGGGTCTGCTTGAAAAACTGACAGGTGGACCCAACTGGACCAGCCGCGTGAAAGGGGCCTTAGGGTTTGACTATACCTTCTTTGCTGTGACTGTGTGTGAGGAAGAGGCATAGAGTGACTCTGCCCGGGATCCGGACTATATAACATGTGCTCAAGACTCACCATCAATCAGCTGTTTCATTTTTACAGCTCCAACATACCATCAACCATAGAGCTGCAGTGCCTTCTCTTGTGTGGCTTAACCCACCTTGGGGAAGATGATGCTTCTATGGGCCACTCTACACCATTGTGTTACAGTAATGTGTGGCAATGCATGTTACATGAGTTTATGTGATGCAGTGCCATTTATTCTGAATGACACCCGACATATATTCCGCTGCAGCACAACGAATTAACCTATGTTGCAGTGCACTGCCAGTAATTGTACATGAATCATTATTTGGTGGGCTCAGCAGCCTAAATGCAATGCATGTTAACATGTGACATGGCTAATGCACCACAACAGTGTGAATGGGCCCCAATTCAGGCAAGTGCATGCATTTTCCCAATCCTGCAATACAGATCAGCTTAGAGCGGTGGCCTGTTTTTGTTTTGAAATAAAGCTGAATTCTGTGATAAGTAAATATTGTCTAAATCAGTGGTTCTCAACTCGTGGGTCCTACTTGACTGCAGTAATAAAAATCTGTTGATTTTACTTCTATTATTCATAGGTGTGTGTATGTGTATATGTATGTATGTATGTATGTATATATATAGCTGAATACTGCACAAGTTGTTTTGTGTAATAAATTAAAATGTTTCAGAACTGAAATTATTTTTGGGTCACGCCTTAATGACCAAGGAAACATGTGGGTCCCGAGGTTACACAGGTTGAGAACCACTGCTCTAAATACAAGCTCCATGTGTATTCTTACTTGAATCTTTGTGTAATGTGTGCATTTCTTAGAGATCTGTGCAGTAATGCAGCAGAAATGCTTCTTCTGTGCAGGAGCTTCCTGTAATAAAGATCAGTCCATATTTCTCTCTCGCCTTGGGCTGGTCTTGTCTCCACCTCCTTTTGTTTTCTGCAGGCAGTGTTTAATGAGTGGAGCCTAATAGGTCCCTCCCACCGCTCCACTTCCTGCATAGCACAGTGATGATGTCCTCATTTTACAAGGTGATATCTGGGTTTGTAAAGGCATTAGGTGCACACACACACACAAAGTGGCTTAATATGTCTTGTGGCTGTTGAGGAATACATTTGAATGAATGTTTTTATGCCCAGTGTTCAGTTTTTAAACTGAATTTGCCTTTTAAACATTTGGAAAATAAGTTTTAGATGAATGGAGCCAAACTTATAAAAAGTTGTTTATAACTCGGGAGCCTTTAAAAAAATTAAAGTGATTGTAGCAAACCTATATTAATACTGTCATTCTGGGGAAAAGGTAAAATAAAAGTGGACTAAAACCATTCTAAGTTATTAAGCAAGACGCTGAACGCGCAATACAATACCGCCTTCGTAGCGAACGTAACCAACCAGGAGCTGGACTGCTTACCTGTCCTTGGTTCGTATTCCAATACTCCATCCAAGCCGCCAACTCCTAGACCATGAGTGGAGCTTCCCGGGCACCAACGATACTCAATAACCGCCTGCGCTCTCTAGCCAATCACGTTTTTCCTACACGTCAACAATAGGACGGCAGAAAACATCAGCATCCGCCATGTTTGATTATGGAAAGCCACTTCCTCTTTATAAAAAAAGAGCCACCTAATAAACAGTACGTTTACTAGTCTATAGACAGCACTTGAATATGTTATGGCTGATTGTTAATTTTTGTCCCTTACTGTTGAATCTAACCATGGGGCGCTCAGTACTCTTTGCGAGTCACAATTGAATTTAGTTGGACTGAAACCAAAGACGCCATGTTTAAGACGGTCAGCCACCAAGAAGCGCGTTCTTCTTTCCGCCAATCGAAGGAGACTAACAACCAATACGCGGACCAATAGCAGACAGACGTGACATGAAAGATTCGGTGGGCGGGAGCGACAGCAGAGAAGACCAATCACAACGACTTTATGTCGTTAGGCTCGCGGTAATTGGCTGAGAAACGTGAAGGCATTTGAATGTGCCTGTATGATGTGTTGGGTCTGGACGAGGCGGAGATGAGAGCGGAGGACGGTGGGAGGCAGCAAGATGGCGTACCAGACTTTCCGACAGGAGTATATGCAGATACCTCCGGTGACCCGAGCCTACACCACAGCCTGTGTGCTCACCACCGCTGTAGTGGTAAGGACTAGCCAGAGCTTCGTCCCCTGCAATGGACATTCGTCTCCTGACACTGCAATTGGGCACTTGCGACTCCTCTTCTAGCTAGTGTCATGTTATACAGTTCTGTGCATTCACTACTGTTGACCACTCCTTGGTCCTGTTAATTACTGAGCTTGCTGTTTTCCCCATTCCTCTGCAGGGTGTCCTTTCATTCATCTGTGGGAGGAAAGGCTTGTACCTTGATAATGGAATGACTGCTGGGACACGTCAGTGTAGGCTAAGGAGCTGTCACCTGTGGCCCACAGGACATACTACTTGAAGGAGGACACGGATCTCCTCTCTAGAGTAACCTGCAGCTATGTGTTTACCTGGGACATGTCCTATACTCATATCACAGGTGGTCTATACTGATATCTATATCTGGTTGTAGAGCTGCAAGCAGTAAGACTTACCACACATGTTACAATTGACTTCTACAGGCTCCTTAAAGCTCAACACACACTACAATCTGATTGTACTGTCTCGTTTAGGTCTATCAACAACTATGCAGCACAAGGGCTTCCCTGATTGGATAGATTAGGCAGGTCCTCGTATTACATTGTTTTGGTAAATCTTAACACACAATCTGTCCCCCCCCCCCCCCCTTTGATACGGGTGCGTCGTGTCAAAATTCCCCCTTGTATAGTCGGGTCCTTATTTGAAGAGGGAAATCTTCCCAAGTGTTACATTGATTAGCAACCACTCAAATGGGAAATCTTCAAGAAGTAAATGTATTCAGCTGGGAACATGCATCAACTCGGGCATGTTCAAATCATATGGGCTCACAGGCCCCTTTTCATAGTGTTTTCAACGGTAGAACCATCTGTGTGTTATCTTGAATTATCTCCCAAAATCAGATAATAGATACATGTACTCATATTTAATTGGGCCATGATCATTAGATGGATTTCCTTGTCTTTGTAAGACTCCCTCATATCCCTCATGGATCCTGTCCATAGGTCCTGTCTTGGCATTGAACCTATTGCACATTAAACCAAGGTCCTTCATATTAAGATTAGAGGACAGCTGTTCATTAAACCAAGTAAAAAAAAAATGTTTATAGATTTTATGTCTAAACTCTTGTTGCCTTAACCCATTAGACCTAAGTGTTCTACATGAACTCTTTCACCTCAACCTACAAAGTTAAATGTTCTACATGAACTCTAGTTAACCTTGACACAGAAAGCTAAATGTTCCACACGTTCCTTATTCATACAACTCATTGTATGTATATATGGTGTTTCCACTATATAATGGTGTACCATATAAATGCAGACTAGCGCATAAAGCATAATTTATAATATGTTCATTAAATATATAATGAAATATTAAGCTAATTTACATAACAGAAGCTTGACTGTGTGATTCAGCAGGGATCATCAGTTTTCCCTATACACTTCTCCCTGTGGGTTTGCCTGCACAGCCATGTCATTCATTATCCATTCAAAGGACTACAAGTCCTATAGTCCATTGATAACTTCTTTCTGCTCTATAACACAAGGTCTGTATCTCGGTATGGACCTGGGCTAAGGGAGTAGTCTGCAGAAGCCTGGGCATTGCATCTGCAGTCCACTGATGACAGTCGCAATGTTTTGCAGGCTCCTCTGGAAGGGGAGTAAGTCTGCTATACATGGAAGTACTGGGTATTTTGTTTGGTAGCTGTGTAGAGTGGTGGGGGAGTGTAGGAAAGGTTACCAGGGAAAGTGGCATTAAAGTAAAACTAAACTCAGGAATTTAAATCTTAAAATACATTCTAGTACCTAAACTATCTTATTTATGTATCACTCGGCTGTAGATCCTCAAATCCTCTCTGAATTGGTGCTGTCACTGTCCTTCTGGAGGGTGGCAACATTTGTTCCCATGATCCCTCTGTGTGTTGTAAAGTAGCCACTGCCCCAAGCTTGCTTCTGTGATGGACTACAATCTCAATACAAATGAGTAAAATGCATATGAAATTGTAGTCCATAATGGGAGCGAGCTTGGAGCGGTGGCTACTTTACAACACACACAGGGGCCATGGGGAACAAAAGTAGCCACCCTCCAAAAGGAAGGACAGTGTCAGCACCAATTCAGAGATGATTTGGGGATCTACAACCGAGTGATACATAAATAAGATAGTTTTGTTTAATAGTTAAGGTACTTGAATGTATTTTTAAGATTTAGTCTCCATTCACACATAGGCATTTGGAGTTCAGCGTTTTCTATGCGTGCAATAAATCAATGGCCCCTGTTCACACCTTTAGCGTTTTGTTGCAAGCTGTAAAACATCTGTCGCTGGAAAAAGTACATAAGCTTCTTTCAGGCAGCTTACAGCGCGTTTGGCCCCATAGACGTCAATGGAAATGGACGACACAAGCGTTTTGCACATTTCTGTGCTCGCTTGCACACTGAAAAGCATTGCGGTCAATCTGCCAGCTAAGACGCTTCTTCATGTGTGTGCATCTAACGTACGTAAAAATGTGCATAACCACACAAAACACGCTAGCCGAAATCGTGCGCAAAAACGCTGGTGCCTAGGTGTGAATATAGACTTGGAGCATCTTGATACAGGAGGAGCAGCTACAGTTAGGAACAGGATGTAATCACTACTCGGTTGCCTTGTAGATGTGTGAGTTGTAACATTTGTGATTTAGTCAGTCCCAGGCTTTGTCTGTGTACCGTAATGTTTGACTAAATGGCACTAAAACGTGTTTTGTCTCTTTTGCAGCAATTGGAACTCATAACACCATTTCAGCTCTATTTTAACCCAGAACTGATATTCAGACATTATCAGGTAAATATACTTTGGTGACTTGAAATGCTTTGAAACCATGACTATGAACATGTAACTTCATTCTTGTAGAAAGTAACACTACAGCATATGGATGAAGGTTTCAGATCTGTAAATTAAGATTTGCATGCTCAGGAAGTTGTGTGACTGTACTGTATGCTTGGACCAACCACTGATGTACAAGTGTTCCTGAGAGACGTACAGCACATGTTTTATAGTTTTTGTAAAAATATGCATTTTCTTTTATATGAGATTGAGGGTCCGTTCACACTTGAGTGATCTGTTGTGGTGCATTCCCACACATGCATTGAGTCAGCTAATTCATTATTATTATCGGGCTGCAATGGATCAAAAACATACGTGGCTATTTTTAACAATGTTAGGTATACGTGTTGCACGCTACAGTACAAACTAACGTCTTTTACTGACGCATGTTGTTACAGTGATAGCGACGTTTCGGGGTCCCGTTCATCAGGCTCGGTATGAAGGGGACCCTGCGTGGCCCTGAAACGTTGCCATCATTGTGACAACATGCGTCAATAACGTTCGTTTGACCAGTTCTTCCGTTGGGCTGGTGACATCTTGCATCTTCGTTGATTCCAGTAGCACCATTCACAATCATTGCAGCACCCACCTCCCAGGGGCTTCTGGTAAGGAGTGCAGTGAGATACTCATTGCACTCTACTGTATGGTGCGTTGGGGTGCCATTCGCAATGGATTGCTTCATACATATAGCAGGTGTGTCGTGGGAACACCTGTGTTTTACCACCGTGCACAAGTGTGAATTGGCTCTTGCTGAGTTTTTGTCCAGGAAAAGGAAGTACAGACAATATAAAGAAAGGTTTCCTGGTTGCTTTCTTGCATGCTATTTAAAGTGGACCTTTGATAGGAAAGCATCTTACATTCATTAGCTAAACAAACATATTTTTATTTTACATTCAATTTCAGCACAAATTATGTAATGTGCCCAAGTAATGCATCCTAGTAAGGTTACATTAGCAGTTCATTGCCGGGAAATCTCATCTGTAATCTCATGAGATATCAGGGAAAGGCATTTTCCTCCTCCTGAGATGATGTGCATAGTCACATGTCCTAGTCACATGTGCCAGAGTTCCAGGAAGTAAAGGGAGATTAAATAATTTGCCCTTAGTAAACATGGCCACTGTCAGAAGACTGGGGAAGAAGATAGAAATAAGGTATGCAAAAAATACAAAGCCTGCAATTATCTAGAGGTATGTGTTTGTAGATTTTCGTTACTAAACATTTCTAAAGATTCCTTTTTGTTATTTTTAAGATATGGGTAAAGTTCCCTTAAGTTTAAATACAACACAGCATACATATCATTTGGTGTTAACATGTGAAGTATTTTACATAAAACACATTGTATAATGCATAGTGAATATGTGTGTGATTGTATTGAATCTGCAATGTGGCAATTGATTGGCTACAGTTTAAAATAGGAAGGGAGTCCTAGGGTTTCACTTGTTAGGCATTATGGTGATGTGTGTTTATAAGATCTGCCTATGGGTACTAATCTCACTGTATGGCCTGTCTATGGGCAGCATTCACAAGTATAAAAATCTGGGAAAGGATACACCTTCAAAGCAGTTTAGAAATATTTACTATCACAGACTGTTAAAAGGAAACCTGTCATGAGAGAAATATATGGGCTGCTAATTTCTTCTAATGTTAGACAGTGAAATCTGTTGGGCTCTATTCACACTTGGGGCCAGTTGCATGAGTCTCATTAACTGCTCCATATGAATCATGTGAACAGCTTTGGGGGGAGGTGCTGTACAATACAATGACAGCTGCCAGTGCTTGCAGCTGTTTGCATGTATGCAAGTGCTGCAATGACCTGCGGCCTATCACCTCTGGACACAGTCTCTCTCTGCCTACTGTGGCTTCAGTACTTTGTTACTAACCCAGAACAAGTATAAACATAAGGAAATCTTACTTTCCCAAGTGTTCTTCCAGAGCAGCACCTGAGAGATGGAATCCACCCACCTAAAACAGGAAACGCATCATCCACAATTAAAATAAAAGGGGCGGTACAGCCCCACCACCTCAGTTTATTGTGTTTCCTTTGGCATAACAGGAACTTCATAACTGTTTTTGTTATTTTGTCCATAGGCCTGCGTACTAGTTGCCTAGGGGCCTCCCAGTGTATGCTGCCCCGTGAATCAGGGACAGGGGGACCTGGGGGTTGCATGTCTGGGCTTGTCCTAGGATTAACCTCCAGGTTATCCTGTTATGGGACCCTCCCTCCCCATCTATCCCTGAGGTTTCTTATCGACCTTGAGGAAAAGCAACTATCCCAGGGTGCATATCGGCTCTAGCAGAGCTTTCCCTTACTCACATTTGGTTCGGCTTAGAGTTCTCCTGCATTGCCTTGAATTGGGTGGTTGCCATCCATGCTCCCTATGTATGCTGCCATGTTGTGGATATTGATATCCAGTAGCATCCTGGGCCTCCTTGAATGGACAGCTATGCGATGGAGTGGTGAGTACCCCTGGCGCCAGCATCCACAGACGCCAGGGAGGGAGTGCAGGGAGTTACTTTTTTAATTGTAACATTCAGGCACATAGCATTTCCAGAAGTCGGCCAGTGGTGACAGCCCATATAGTTCTCTTATGACCTGTGTCTATGAAGCAGTGCTTGAGGTGTACCAACTTATACCACGGTCTTAATTTATACTATTTCTGATGACCAAAAAAACCCAATACAAACATTAGCCTTTTTTATTCATTTTCTAGTAACTGATGTTTCATTTTTTTTTTCTTTGGTACAGGTATGGCGATTAGTAACAAACTTCCTCTTTTTTGGACCTGTTGGATTCAACTTTTTATTTAATATGATATTTTTGTATCCTTTTAAAAATGTCACTAATCACTTGACTAGATTGTACATGGTTTTTATACTCCTATAAACAGATGACATTTCCTTTCAGAGGACCTAAATCCTGTAGTACCTTTAAAACCTAACCAATGAACTATCACATTCTCAAACAATTCATCCCCACACAGCTACCTCCTCATATATCACTTGCCCCTCTCTTCTAGATTGTAAGCCCTCACATGCAGGGCCCTCCTTACCATCTTGTCTTGTGATTGTAATGTCTTCCTTACATTGTAAAGCGCTGCGCAAACTGTCACATTATAATCCTGTAGTATTATTATAATCATAATAAACTTGATTGCATAGTTTCACCTCCTGATAATGTATTTAAAGCCTTGATCTGTGAAAATGCTATGGTTCAATGTTGTCCTGACATTTACTCTTAGTATAACAGCAGCTTGACCAATTTTGTATCCTGACAGTCCAAAAGGCAAAGCTTTCCTTGACTAAGCATTTGCTTTAGATACAGATACTGCCGGATGCTTGAAGAAGGATCTTTCCGAGGTCGTACAGCAGATTTTGTATTTATGTTCCTTTTTGGTGGTCTTTTGATGGCTGTATCCTTTATTACGTAACATGTATTTATTTTATTGCCACTGACTACATAGGGTGAAAGTTTTGGCCTTCTGAAAAGGGATACAAAGCAATCTTAAATTATTTGAAAAGCCAAAATATTTTTTTTAAACTCTTTTTATGTATTTGTCTTTTCCCCCCTCTGACCCGTGCCCCAAGGCAGAGATCTTGCTTCACTTCCTTGCACAGGGCTACAGCATAAACCTTCTCCACGCTGGTTTTAGCATTTGAGAACAGTGTGTACATCAAGCTTTTGTAACGCTTTTGGCAAACGTTGAGCAGCTTTGATGAAGCTTGTAGGGCAACCTCCGTTCTAGTATGAGGATGTTAAACCTAGATCTTGATGTGAGTGCTGACTTTAAAGTGACAGTCTTCACTCCCATTTAAGATCTATACTTAAACTCCCTTAAACAAAGCTTGAATGATGCTTCAGCTAGGCTTAAACATTATTGTAACTTTAATTCTCTATTGAATATTTTTTTTTTGATGTGAGCACCAAAATAGTTTGACAGGTCCAGGTAGGCTAGAGTTTGCCAAGCCTTATGTGGTCCCCTCATAACCAAGAACCCCATTGGTTTGTACCAGAACTGTCAGATGGTACAGTCTGACATCTAGGAGCGCTTAGCTCTGTTGGCTCCCAGCTATCAAATGGGGAATGAAGGTTAACATTCCTGGGGACCCATGCATGGGTGCATTCATATAGAGATTGCAAGTAAGAAGCAATTCATCTGTGCTGTTGGGTTAGTAATTAACTCATGTGTTTCTGCTGAGGATGGTCCTTTAATATTGAACACTGTTTTACAGAACCTAACTTCTATCAGTACTTGATGGCACATGTGGTATTCATGTTCCTTAATTCTTTTCTTCAGATCTTTGGTTTGTTTGTCAATTTAGTGTTTCTAGGCCAAGCTTTTACGATAATGCTTGTGTATGTCTGGAGTAGAAGGAATCCATATGTACGAATGAACTTTTTTGGACTTCTGAATTTCCAGGCTCCATTCCTGCCCTGGGTTCTTATGGGCTTTTCACTGCTACTGGGAAATTCCATCATTGTGGACCTCCTGGGTAAGCTATAATCCAATGTGTTCTCGAAAGAACTCGACCTAAGCATTTTGTATGCAGGAAGGTTTACATATGACTCTGACTAATTTATGGTTTCTTCTTGTACACCTCTTTCTGCTGCTATGTTCCTTTTTACAGATTTTAATGTAGGGAATCTGTAAAGGAAACCTGTACCGAGAGAAATGTTGAGGATGCCATTGCTGACCTATGCCCATCTGTCTCTGGCTTCAGTACTTTCATACATTGATCAGGAAGAAGCACACAGTAACATCAGAATTGGTCCGCATGCTTATTCCAAGTCAGTGAAGCCATCAAATAAGCATTACATCCAAGGAACTAATGTTTTCAAAGAAGTCAGCAATGGCAGTCGGAATAATTTCTCACAACATATATATATTTCTCCAATCATCTTCCAGGACAGCAACCTGAGAGATGATTGGATCTTCAGTCTACAGGAAACACAATCAGACAAGGTTAAAAACCCCTCCCACCCCCCTCGTCCCTCAGTTTTTGATTGTGTTTTTTACCGTCTGGGTCAGCGCAATGTTTGTTTCTTTGTCCCGACTGGATGGCCTTGAGGTCAGCAGTCACCCTCTGTTGGGCTCTGCTAGGGTACTGGATTCCTGAGCCTTGCCTTCTTGTGGTACAGAGGTTGTTCCCTTAGAAGAGGTAGCTGGGTCTCTCCCAAACCTAAGGGTAGACACTTAGCTTATCTTTCCCCCGGGCTGTTTGCCCTGTCTGGTGCTCTGTGGAGCTTGCCTCGTGGTGGAGGGCAAGGAGGCGGGACTTCCGGTTCCAAGCCTCGTTCTGAGTTAGGAAGTTCTGAGTTGGACCGATAAATAGATATATAATGGTACAGAACAGAAGGCATCCACATCTCATTTTATTCCCCTAAAATAAGAGGAAATGGCTGTATGCAGTGTGTAATAATAAATGGCTTTATAATATTAGGTTGTATGTTTTTGTTATACTTCAGCAGTTCTGGATGTACAGTTAGCCAAGGGGTATTGAAGAATTAATTAGTTTTATTTATTACCGGTATTTATATAGAACTGACAATTTATGCAGCACTTTACATAGAGCGCATTCACATTAGGCCCTCAAGGAGCTTACAATCTAAGGTCCCTATCTCACATGCATACATTCAGTGACAATTTAGACAGGAACCAACTAACCTACCAGTATGTCTTTTGGCGTGTGAGAGGAAACCAGAGTACCTGGAGGAAACCCATGTAAGCACAGGGAGAAAATGCGAACTCCTAGCAGATAGTGATCTGTCCGGGATTCAAAACAAGAGACCCCCAGTGCTGCAAGGCAGTAGCGCTAACTACTACACCACTGTTCTGTCCAGTATGCATTTGTATGACCCCGTCCTATGATGAGGAAGAATCCCTTTATTTTTGGGATATACTGTATGATGTGATGTGACTACCTTTTGTTCTAATAAGTCTCTACAGTTAAGTGGAGGGCTTTTTTGTCCACTTTATAACCTGTTGGATTATACTTTCAAGTACAATATAATGTAACATGCAGCAGTAAACTGTGCAAAATTGCATCATCACAACCACTGCAGGTGTTTTCTCCTCCCCATGCCATGCAATAGACAGAGGAGTGTAGTGTCTTGAACAATCTGTTAAACTTGACTTTATATAATCTTTTTTTTTGGCAGTGCAATGTGCTCGACAGTTTGTCTATGGCCCATTTATTCTCTTATGTTTATTTTGACACTTGTGTTGAACTTTTATAGAGGTCAGGCTTATGATTTCTACAAGGTTTGACAGTATCTTTAAGAACACACGCACTTTGCATTGACTTGAGAATAATTAAAGCAGTATCTCATTTTACTTGGTTAAAATAAAACTGGTGTCTAATGCATACATTAGAACCCAGCTCCAGGTTTTTTTTTTTTCTAGTGTTTAGAACGTCTGACTTTTTTTTTTCGAGTGTTAAGAGCATGTGCCAGGTGACCCTACTGGGGATATTTTACTTCCTGTCACTATATCAACAGGACATTAAAATTAGGGGATTGGGTGTCACGGATACATGGACACAGACTACAGTACAAAAGAAAGCGCTTCTGTTGCTTTGTCGTCATTTACCATTGTAGAGTGTCTCTATCACCTACGGTACCTGTGCTACCCTATTCCTGGGACAGGAAGTGTGTGTGATCTTCCCCAAACAGCAATACAAATCTAATGGAGAATTTTGTTGACCTTGGAGTATTTCATTTTCACATATTAATATGCATGCAACTTTTTCCAGGTATTGCAGTTGGACACATCTATTTCTTTTTGGAAGATGTGTTTCCCAACCAGCCTGGAGGCGGACGAATTCTGAAGACGCCATATATTTTGTAAGTAAATAATCTAACCTTGGATTAACTTTTAGAGATTTGTATGTTAAGGGTAATTCCATGCAAAATAACTATTAAGCACATTGTTTATTTCAAACAATTAATCCTGTCTGTACTGGCAGATTTCATTATCAATTGTAAACTAGGTGAGCAAAACTGTCTGTCCTACCAAAAGGATAAAGCCCTGAAGACCCTGTATGCTAATGAGGAGACACGCTTTCTGTCCTAAGTCTTTCTGTTAGGACAGTCAGCGTTTCCTGTTACTGAAATTGAGAGAGAAGCTTGCAAAGACCTGTTAAATAGAGATATGTAAAGGGTAGAACATTTCTTTCAAAAAGTTTTAGGTATGCTGTGTAAATAGGAACACATATCAAACTTAACGTGGGGGTTTCTCAATTTTGACTGCATGGAAATACATTTTAAGATGGAGCTACCCATCGTATGCCTAACAATTTCGCTTTTCTTGTTGGCTACAACCAGATGCTATATTTGGAACTCGTATAAAGGTGGTCACAATTGACCCATGTTTTAATGTGAGTTACATTTATGTGGATGAAAAATGCCTTGGAGCCCATTCACACCACAGCAGTGCCACAATGCGCAGTGGTGAGATGCCATGGCATTCATTCAGAATGGCACCTAGACGTTGCCCATGGAGGTGCGTTGTGACATGCCAGAACACCCTGTAATTCACCACTGTGCATTGTGCTTTGCTACATTACAAAAAAGAATACATTAAACTAGGGATACACCGAAATTACATTTTGTAGACCCAAACCAAAATGTCAAAATTTGTCAGGCCGACAAATTTTTTTTTTTTCCCCTCCCAACTTTTTTTTTTTTAAATTTTATTTATTTTTTAACTTTACCGTCGGGGGCTGTGTGTAAATATCAGGGGTCTAAACAGATCCCTGATATGTCCCTCTTGAAATGGAAAAAGAGATTGAGGACACGAGTCCTAAATCTTCTTCTGAACCCCCTGTTATTAATTAACAGGAAGCCACTATACGGAGTGCTCCTGTCCTTTCATTAACATGGAGATAGTATCGGTTACTATGTCCATAATCGTGAATGAACAGGAAGTGATGTAGAGCTGAGCACTTCCTCTTCATTCATAATTGGGAACTGTAACTAAATACTATGTCCTCCGTTATTTACAAACATCGGTATGATCAGAACTGATGACACTGATGTTTGAGCAGTACGTAGAAGGATCAGCAAATATTCTACATATTTGCTGATCCTCCCGATCTCCATCCTGAACCATTCTGCTCCTCCTGCAGCTCTTCTCCTTGCTGACACTGTCAGTCCTGAAAGCTTCTCTTCTCCCCACTGATCAGCAGCAGCTGGATCGGCTATGTGTCCCCTCCAATTGCCTCTGCTGACACAGGTGGGGGAGAGCAGCACATATGAGGGGACCCAGACCAAAGCTTGAAGCTGGGGATTTTGACCATTTTTTTTTTTTTTTTTCCGGCCTTTTTTTTTTGTACTATCGGCATTTTGCCCATAATACCATTTTTGCCCGCAAAATTTTCGGTGCATCCCTACATTAAAATTTTGATGTGTTTTGGCATCAAATTATGGAGCTTCCCTAAATGCAACACGCAATGGGCAGGTTCAGCAATAGCTTAGCCTGCTTATTGTAAAGGGGGCCCCGTACGTTGCCTACGTTACCCCGTGTTCAGAGGTGAATATTCTGCTTGACTACTTATGTGTGGAATAATTGGGATTACTCCTTAGTGACACTTAACATACTTTTTTGATTTTAATGTTTTGCAAATTTAGGTACTCTTCAAAAAGGTGTGGTTCATGGCATGTTACTAAAAATAAATAAATCACATGTAGCTGGGCATCTCCAACTGCTGGCTGTTATCTCTGGGTCTTGTGCACCCCTGATTTACTTTAAGGAACAAATTCATATTTAAGCATGTCCAATCCAAACATTGTGTCTTAAAACCTATATCCGCTGTCTATTTTTGTTTTTTGGGGAGGAAGGGGGAGGTTGCCACTTGTATGCCATTGGGGAGATTTCCCTTCCCTCCACTTCCTGTTCTGTAGACACAACAGGTAGTGAGAGGAGGTCTCTCCAAAGTGAGGTATGTCCCCTTTTAGGCATTTGTCACTAACAAGTATCCCCATTGGAAGACTTGCACTTTGGTGATGGTGGTTTTGAGTCCTTTTTTGATGGTATACATAATATTCACAAGTCATGTAAAAAATGTATTTAACTTACTCCTTACAGGAAAGCAATATTTGATACACAAGAAGACGACCCAAATTACAACCCCCTTCCTGAAGATCGTCCTGGAGGTTTTGCTTGGGGTGAAGGTCAACGACTTGGAGGCTAATTAATATAATGGACACTAGGAGGCGAACTTTTTTTTTAACACCTTCTGGATTGCACATTGTTTCTGTTACAGAGATGATGCTGCTGTTCTTAAAAAAAGGAAGCACTTTATAATCCACTGGCTGACCCAAGCAGACCTTCTCATTTCCCCACCAGTGCCTCTCTGAGGTTTTGCTTGCATTGAAGCTCTTGGATCCACAAACTGGAACCTAAGTAGGTTCAGCAAGACCATGCAGACCTGTTCAATGCTTTTAACAGCTGCTTTCTATTTTTTTTTTTCTTTAATTCTTTGATAAAGAACCTGTGTATAACGACTTTGAGATTCACAAGGAATATGATGATGTTTGTGACACTTATTATGTGAAGTGTAGCAAAACATGTGACCCTGCAAATTCCATATGGGTTGGACTGAACAAAAGAAACGAGAAAGCGGACTAAAACGGCCTTTCCTCTACTTTCATTGGAGAAAATGATATATGCCAATATCCTTGTGACATTAATTTTTTTTTATTATTATTATATAAGTCTACATTCCATTGTAAAACGGTGGCACATGAAGTCTGGAATGCTATATGATTTATAGGTTATACTATAATTGGGTGTGCAGCAAAACAAAGGCAAATAGTCAGTTTTATTATTGTAGACTTGAAACAAAAACCTAACAAACGCGTTGGAAATTAGTTCAGTTTTTATTGTGTACAATAAACCCACTTGAACTGCTTTTAAAGTTGTTTTAAGGTGATGTGCTTATACTGTAATATTCAGAGAAATATACTGTATTGTGCTCCATATGGCAGTGAATTCTGTCACCGCAGTGAAATCATCCATTTTGTAGTATATTCTTAGTCTCACTTTTGCATGAATTGACAGTTTTTGCTCAACACATATTTACCATAACCCTACATGTGTTAACAGGAACAAGATCCTGTTCCAGGGATAATCCGGAACAGGATCTTACTGAACACAGGACAGTGTGTTGGGCAAGAGGATTTGACAAAAGCTGTTTCATTGGTCTTCATCTTTTACTTAACCAATCCACGTAGCTGACTGCACCTTGTTAGCCTCCCTTAGTAATTGTAAACATGAAAGCATCATGAGATAAGTGCTACTGGTTTCCGGTATATATTAGCCTGTGCAATGTGCTGAAGATGAACAGCATTGTTCCAAATACAGTGATTATTTTTTAGGCCCAACACCAAACAAAGGAGGTTTTAGTGCAGGAAATAAGGGGATTAGATTGAGGGGGTTAGGACCTCCGCCAAGTTTTGATTGCTTTCTGAGTGGAGATTTTCCCTTGTCTTACGAGACGTGTGAAAACAGAAAGTGAGGGGCAACCTCCATAGAAAAGAAGTAGAGCATTTCAAACCTGACCGTTATTCTAGCTCTTCTTCCTTCCTATTCAAAACTAAAAAAAAAAAGTTGGTTGGAGTTGGACTTTTTGGTATTTAACCACTCGCTGTCCGAAGCAATTTCATAATCTTTGCACACATGATAATCTCAATTTTTGTCTAGAAAACAGCTTAAAACTCCCAAACAATGTATATATTTTCTGAAATCGGAGGCCCTGTAGAGTAGGAAAAAAAATGCTAGTTGCAATTGTTTTTATGTCTCATTTGCGCAAATGTTTATCAAACCAGTATTTTTAGGCTAAAATTAAATGTAATGCACAGAAACCAAATATAATGCATATTTTTTTTGGGTAAAATATAAAAGATGGGGGTCACGTTGGGTAAATTGATACCAAACATGTCAAGCGTTAAAAAAAAATTGTGCCTGTGAAACAGCAAGAATCTACAAAATACACCAAATTTCCCATAGGTGATGCTTTTACTGCTCATCGGTTTAATTTAGGCAGGGATCGATGGCCCTAGAATTCTTGCTCTCACTTCAACGTTCATTGCAATATGTAGCACGCGCAATTTTCATTTTTGCACGTAGGTGGGGGGACTTTGGAAAAAAAATAAACATTTTTACACTTAACTTTATTGCTAATGTCACCTAGGGACCCCAAAGAAGCTGATGTAGCAGAGATCTGCTTCACCCGGTTCTTCTCGCTCTAGTAGCCGGAGAATGTAAACAGTAATACACATAACTTCCGGGTCTAGTGATCAAAGGAGAGATCAGCGGCTAGAAGCTTGCTGATTTCCCTCCGATCGGTGAGGGGAGACCCACTGTGTCGGTCCCAGGCATGCACGGGGGACAGCGGAGCCCAGGATAGCTGTCGGAGGGGGGCACGCATTTAGCCGCACTGTACAAGCGATCCGGCAGCACTTGTATCTAAACAGGCATCGCCAGCTGTTTAAGAAGATACAGGGCAGCAACAGCCGTGTTCTTGGTATAACCGCTTCAGGACCAGGGTGTATTTTGACGGTGGGCGGTCCTGAAGCGGTTAAAGAATACACAAACCCCAAATCTGTTTTTCAGTATAATTGGCAGCATGCCTTTTACTGTATACAGGTTGCAAAATTCTACTGGAGATCCTGCCACTAACGGCACATTTGTTTTAGGCTGACATCAATCTCTCTTGACTTGTCCTTTTATTCAGAATTGGCAATGGCAACTCCTAATGCCTGGTTCCTATTTGACAAATCACATTTCCTGGTCCTCCTGTCAAAAAAACCCCTGTGACCTCCCCAGAACAACCTTAACTTGACTATAAAATTGTGATTACAACTCTCACAGTGTGCTGCTTTTTTTTTTTTTCTTTGCCCTGTAGGATCCATGCACTAACGCAACATTTTTGGCAGAGTAATTTGCCACATTCTTTTATTTGTAATAGTAGTCCTAATGGGTCTTATAGTCGTGTCTCTTTCCTGCCATGCATGTCGGGGTCTACCTGTCCAATTGTTTTATTTTCCCCTCGCTGCTTCAGTGCTTGGTGCATGAGTATAGGTGCATTGGGGTGCTTATGACATATGATTACAGCATCTTTATGCAGGACAGGCCTTGCTAGGCAACAACTCGTTCTCACATCGGATTAGATAGCAGGCCTCTTCTGGCAGTTAAATGCCTTAGTGGTTTTCTGGTGGCTGTCGTTCTGTCCTGCTGCTACTGCTTTGGGTTCTGTGTTTTCCTTAGTGTTCTCTTGTTTCTATGTGGCTTTCCTTTTGTGTATTTTGGATTCCCTGCTCATCGTCTTCAGCCTAGTAGGAGCTCACCCAGTCTAGATATATCTCCTCGTTTATTCCCCTTCGGCCTAGTAGCTCATCCAGTTTAGATACCTAGATTTATTCATTATGGGAAGAGCCTAAGGCTGGGCACACACCTTACAACCATCGCAAGACTTCTGTCTTGCGATGGTTGTAAGGTACTTAAAAAAAACGTACGATCTGCCTATGTTGCATAGGCAGATCGTACTTGCGATGATCGCAAGCCACGCCCCCTGAGGGGCGGGCTTCCGATGACCGCAATGCCGAACAGGCAGTGTGCGCTTGCGGCTGTTATCGTACGGACATGCCACAAACCCGCCGAACATCGTACGATGCTCGGCGGGTTTTCGAACATGTCCGTAAGTTTAAAGTCGTGCGACCTTACAGTAGTAGAGGTCGCACGGCTTCCACACACCTTACGATCATCGTACGATCGTGGGATTTCCCACGATAATCGTAAGGTGTGTGGGGACCCTAAGATCTAAATGTCAAGATATAAGATTCATACTTGGTAAGCAACATTTGCTTTCATTACATTTCAAACAGCCTCATTCCTACTTGTCACCGCCACCACCTCCATGCCTCTAGATAGACGCTCTGGTTCTCAATGCTATTGTCACTCAGATTCTTACAGATGTGTCCATCTTTCCTGGACCTGAGCCTGCCATTTGTGTTATTGGAGTATAGTCCAGTCTCAGGCCAAAGAAGGTAGCAAAACGCCAAGAAAAGCAACATATCGATCTTAGCATGCAAAGACTTATCATTCAAGACAAACGTTTTCTGCACCGTCCCTTACGAGGAACACAGAGCTCAAATGGACTAGATGTTGTCCATAGATTTTGAGGATGCTTGTGCCAGTTCAACAACATTTATTGTATATGGTTACCATTTCCACTTGTTGTGTCTGCCATTTGGCCTGTGTACAGCCCCGGTTACTTTTATAAAGATCCTGGTAATAGTCCTTGCCTTGCTCTGAAGTCAGGGCCTAAAAATGTTTCATTACTTGGAGGATGTCCTTCTGGGCCACACCAGTCTCCTCTTGCTAGAACACAAATGGCCATACAAACTCTTTTGGCGTTCAGATGGATCTGAAATCTTTAAAACAGCAAATGAAAGCAAAGCTTGGAATATATGGGCCTGGTTTTCAATACCTGACAGAATATGATCTTTTTACCACCTTCTGCAGCCCATCAGAATCCCTCCACTGATTTACTGAGATCTGGCCTGGTGGACAGTCCCTGTCAACCTCTTCCCCTGGCATGCCCATCTGCCCTGGATTGTTACTTCTGATGCTAATCTCCAGGGCTGAAGGGCCAATGAATTTAGAGGCACATAGCTATTGGAAAGCCCCTGTACCTCCTTGTCCCAACCTCCTAAAATTGAGGCAAATCCTTGGGGGCTGTAGAGTGAAACTGTTAATGGACAACAATATATCCATATCTTGCTTTAACAAATGCGAAGGCAAGAGCATACAGCGAATTTAGGTCTTGGTGGAAAGTTTTAATGAGCGGAGATACACCTGGAATCACAAACAGCCTTGTACCTACCCAGACCCCAGAATGTTCTAGCAGATTATTTTTATTTGGAATTTCCTGAGCCATAGCTGTGGTCCCTAAATCAGCGAAATTTCAGAGATGTCTTTTTCCTCTTGGGGGACTATGGAGGTGGATCTTATGGCCTTGCTAGACAACACTCGTCACATTAGCGTTGACTCACAAACGTCAACATAGGACACCCAATGTGCTTTGGCGGCTCAGACATCCTTTTTCAGGGCTTAAATGTAATTGGTAATTAGAAGGACTCAAAAATAGTACAAATCAGTGAGAGTTCATTATTATTTGTTGCAAAGGCTAAACCCAGGATCAATCTCTACTTTTGTTAATAAATACATTCACTCTGAACATGGTATATAGAAAGGCAGTGTCTCATGGTTTAGTACTACTGGAATTGTAACTACTTCAGCTCTTGTATCTAGGGCTGCAACAACTAATCGACATAATCGATTATAATCGATTATTGAAAAAGTTGTCAACTTTTTCAATAATCGATTAATCGGCTTCTGATCAGTTGGGCCTGTTCACGGCTCCACACACGCTGCGTGCCGCACCTCTTCCCCACCTCACGCTTGCCGCTGCCAGACCCGCCCGCCCGCAATCCACGCCGCACCTCCCCCCCGCCTCACACTCACCGCCCGCCCACATCCACGATTGGCACAGGGACGCGGGG